CATCTCTATCCCAGGCGGAACACCACATCTGGTGGGTCCGCCACATCAGGGAACACCAGGTTCAAACCGCCATCCAAACATAGGTGTGCGCCACTATCATATTTGAAAAAAAGAAAAGAATGACCCCTGCGCAAGGATGACATACATAAATGAGAAATGGTCTAGCTCATGAGGTCTGCGGTTCAATCACCATGGGCCTCATGTACCTTTCTGGGCAAGCTTGGGGCCCACCACGTAGAGGTAGGCGGTTGGTCCACTCGAGTGACATTGAGCAAAAAATGATGATGCTTAGAGGAGGAGGGAACCGGAGGGGAGGCATAGCGACTGGCCCATCGAGGAAGCTCGGTCCTAATGCTACCGGCTGACCCTTGGCCAGTATCTCCCACCTGTTGTAGTAGGTATCGCACCAACTTCTTATTCTCTAAATTATGTACTATAAGACAGCATAGAGATCATAATTTCATGAAATTATGATCGATACGCTGCATTATAGTATATAATTTAAAGATTTGAATCCTGTCACCTTGAGTCAAAATCAGAGTAAATTGATATGAAAATCAATCGACCAGTATCACCTCGTATTATTATTTATAAGCCATAATTAACTTTTGCTTTCTCTATTTTTCATAGAATTTGTGGTGTTTTTTTAGCTACTAGTACTGTTTTATTTAGTATTTTTTTGGTCAAAATTTTTAAACTTAGGCTTGGACCCCACTGGCCGGCGGCTGGAAAAGGTACTCGGCCGCCGGTTTCTGGTCAACATCAGTGGAAAAGAATTGACACGTTTCGACGTGACCACACTGACGATTTCTGGCGGGGTCTTGGAAACGACCACGCTTGCCACTTTAGGAAACCTAAGAGGGGCACCTCCTGAAAAGGAAAGTACGGACGGCCTGCATGGACCAGCGACCAGTTTCGATGAGTCGTGCGAAACACACTTCATTCGTGTCGTTTCGGCCAAGACCAAATGTCTGTCAACGACGCCCGTTTACTGTACCACACCTCGCCGACCTCCAATGCCAACGGTTTGCACTCCCTACCCTGTTGGAGGACGTTTTGGAAAAGGACTGCCGGTTTTTGGCGGAGAGTTTCCAGCCACCACCCATGTAGAAACACCGGCAACAGTGTTTCCAAAATGGCAGTGGAGTTTGAAAATGGCGTTCACATTCCCCCAAAAGAAAATTTGGTGGCCCAGTAGAGTCCGAAATCGCCCTTCCACCCCAAAACTTTTCCAGCCACCGGCTAGAGGGGTCCAAGCCTTAATCTGACTTTTTTTCACTTTTATTTGTTTGTTTTTTACTTCGTTTGTT